ATCTCCGCTTTTTTCATTTGTTATTTTTGTTTTGTCCAAATAGGTTCACTTTTCCTTTTGTCCAGTTTTTGTTTTGGGCGTTTATTTGAGCACCCAGATGGATACAAAAGGGTTGTAGGATGGTGCTTGGTAAGGTGCTGCGGTACTTCGCTCTCCGATGCGCGATCCAAGCGATCGGGTCGAGAAATGTGAAGGCGCTGTTCCAAATGAACACAATTTGAGCCGCCCCCAATTTTGTGAACTCTCTCGCTCAAGAATTCGGTTTCTTTCTCTTTGCCCCATCAAGTTTGACTTCGTTGAAAGTTGAAACATCTTGTTTTTCTTAACGTTTTGGGTTAGTTTTCCAGATTGAGCGTGTGTTTGTTTAGCAAAAAAGCTGTCAGTGATGTCGAACAAACGGGAAAGATCTGCGTGCTGGACATTGAATTGCAAGGAGTTCGTAATATCAAGAGCACCCACCTGAATGCACGTTACATTCTCATACGTACGCCCACGCTGGATGTCTTGGTAATTTTTTTGTTTCTATTGCTTTTTTGCGACTTTGAACCAAAGTGTTTCCTTAAAATCCTAATTTGTTCGATTAACCGGTCGGGCCGCCCATTGCTGGGCAGCCTCGACAGGGTAAACAAATAAATTGAAAAGTTGTGTAATGCATGTGCGCAGTTAGGAATGAAATTATGTGTAAAGCGAGTGTTTGTGGGAAACAGAAAAGAAAAAGGCCCTGAGATCTCTGGCTGCAATTAAGCTAGACACCAGCCAGTCATGATATAGCCCCACACTTTGTCTAGGGTCCTCAGCTGTGATGGGCCCTGACTGGAATCATTTGTGCTCGCCCCAACATTTGTGTCGTGTTGGTTTGTCTTGGAAGTGAACCCACAGTAGAACAAGAGGAGATCTATGTTTATCTTTCTCAACTCGTTCTCGGTCTGCCCCAGGTCAGCATCTTCCTTAGAGAATACGGGATTATCGGTAATCAGCCGTGCAATGTTTACTTTTTATGATTGGAACTCGTTTTCGGGTCATGGGAAACAAATTTAGGTAGGATGTTCGTATCATGATTTACAGTAATTGCTCCGGAGCGCCGCGTGTACATTTGTCTGCTGATTCAATGAAATGGTAGCCATTGGAAAAATTCGGTGTATACCGGGTTTCACAAAAGGGGAAGCTGGACGCTACTCGGAGGTTTTTTCATTGACTTGCCTGATTTCAGGAAGCCCGTCTTCGTGCACGTGGGACCGAAAAGGAAGAGGACATAGCTAAGCGACTGAAACATGCCCGAGAAGATCTCGCAGCTGGTGAGCTTGTTCTCTGTTGTTTTGCTTGATTGCAAAGGCTTTATTTCTACTTTGATCGTGCATTTTTTGTTTGATAAGAGACATAGAACGATAATTTGCAGTGGAACAAGACCCAGATCTATTCGACCATATCATTATTAATGACGATTTGGAGAGGGCCTACAAGGAGTTCATCCACATCATCGAAGAAGATCTTATGTCGATTTCGAATTGATCAGATTGAACGCGTAACTAATTTATTGGTACTATGATTTCATAACTATTTTCGGCGCAGTTCGGCTTGATGGGGGCACCGAATAACAGTCAACTAAGCTTGTATAGGCTACCTTGTGAAAACATGTGAAGTCCTGTGACCGAAGTGGCCCATTCAAGCGATTTAGCTGTACAGGAGTTTACAACTCTTATCGAAATGCTTGTTGGTTAACATGCACGAACAAAAGAAACTAGCAAAGGGAAAAGCAAAATGTCCCTCCAAGCCGAACAGCGCACTGTTTTATTTAGTTCCAATGCATGGCTCATGTTTTGTAGCAGTAATTATTGTTATATTGTTGAAAAAAGAAAGAAAAGAAGTCATGAATTAGAACTTCATGAATCATTGGAGGGGCACTGATGTAGTACGTAGTACACTACCTGTTGATTAATGCATTGAATGAGCCATCATTCCCTAACGAGCGCATTTATACTTCGCGATCCACCCGCTCGACCGCGCAGTTCAGGCGAAATGGTCGCGAGGTATGATTGCACTCTTAACAAGTAGCTCATCTGTGCTACATCTGTGCCATTGAACGTACCGACATCAGGTTAATACTGGCAAATGGTTAGTGATTAACTGTAATATGCAATTTAACATTCCTGTCTTCCTCCGTTATTGATCTGTTAAGTAGTTAGTGTTCAGTGATAACTTAGTTCCCAATTGCACAATGGCCATAACAGTGTTCAAAAATGTTTTAAAGCGGATAAGTTATATGATAATTCGTTCGCAGTATTGTTCCGAATAGTCCGGTGTAACCTCTGAAATGTGCACAATAGATGTTCACCAAAAATGTTTCTACTCTGATGTTAATATTAATCTTCTTTTTAGGCCTCGTTTGATTGTATGAGGATACTCTCTGATAATGGCGCAAGCTTTACAAATATGTGTTTCTTGAATTGTGTTAGTATGTTCAGTGTTGACTTCATTACTGTGGTTTGTTTACAGATCGGTAATAGATGTCTGAATGAAGGGATTTTGTGTGAAATTGTTTTGCATAGTACAGGTTTATGTGACAAATATCTGTAACGAGCAACCAATGATAGCTAAGGAAAACAAGTGGAGTAATATGGGCGCTGTTCGGCTTGGAAGGGGCAGTGCATTTTCCTTTTCCGCTTCTTTTTGCTAGTTAATGTTAGCTAGCAGGTTTCGTGAACTAGCACCATTTGACGCTCCACCAAGCCGAACTGCGCCTGTCTTGGTATTTGAGTTCCTGGCATTTCTTTCGTTCCTTTGTTCAAACTGCAAAATAGAAACCGCAGCAAGGCACTAGGGCGCAAAAGGACCAGTTGTCGCGGTTCCCATCATGTTGATTGAGTTAGGAGTGCTGTAAGATTTTTCTCCTTGTCACTTTCGGCTGAATTTTGAAGCTTCTAGTTATGTCAGCCAAGCACAAACGTGGTTTGAGGTTCGGGGAAGGAGCTGGGAGTGCGTCTAGTTCTGCTATGCCGCGCCGGCTTCGCTTGTCTGAGTTCTGCTAGGGCTGGGCCTTGACCAAAGGCAAGGGGTGTGTCGCCCCTTTCTCGAACTGAGCTAGCGCAGACGCTATTCGAATTTGCTGAGGCGTCTTCTTGTACCACAGAGAACTCACTGAAAGCAGCGACAAAGTATGTTTTTTTGTTTTAATCTTACGAAGTGTGAAACTCACTTGGACCCACTTGGTTAGTTCAGATGTCGTTTTTTGCACTCACAGGGAATAATTTGAAGTTACGCCATGGAACCTTGAATGGAGCCGCTGGGTACATCGATCGAGCCTCGAATGTTGATTAAGCGAATATGGCAGGATTAAAAAGTGCTGACGGGACCTCCCTAGACGCAGAGATGCTGGTGTGGTCAACAGTTTGGAGTTCTGGCGTCGTAAGAAAGCTGCTGATCGAACGGTAACGGTGCTCGCTTTCAAGTCAGGTGAATGCGAGGTGCTGCATCAGGTTTGGCGCGGAAAATTTTTGGCTTCGGCCTCCGTATAAGAAGGGTTCAACTCTAAATTTTTCTTGAATTCCTTCGCGAACTGGTACGGACGCACAAGGGCAATTAGATCAAGTGATCAAGTATACGACGTACTCGATCTAGTATGGATGTGGTCATATCTGCCCTCTCTGAACATATTACCCATCCGACAATTCAACAATTCAGAAGTTTTGCCCAGAATCGCAATTTGGCCAGACGAGCGTTTTTTCGTCGAAGGATGTGATATTCGTGTTCAGGGGGTCGAAATCTCCCATGAACGAATTTCTCGCTAAAACTTTGAATTGTCGGATGGGTAATATGTTCAGAGAGGGCAGATATGACCACATCCATACTAGATCGAGTACGTCGTATACTTGATGTACTTGATCTACTTGCCCTGCTGGGCCGTAAATTCGGAAGAATTTCGAAAATTAGAGTTGAAGCTCTTATACGGAAGAGAGGAGAGAGTGTTCGGCGCCAAACGCGATGCAAACCGCATGCGTTTAACTTGAAAGCGAGAGCACGGTGGCAGCTGCGAGGCATCGAGTCAGGCAGCGCTTGCCGAGGCCAGAAGCTCAATTTTTTGTACCCACGCCAGCATCTGCGTCTGGGAGGCCCCGCCCCCCCCCCTCAAAATTGAGTTCAACACATAGAGGTTGGTCCCCGTAGCTACTTGTTAATCTGCATCAATTCGTTTAGGATCAGTGCATTACCAGGCTCTATCGATGTTCCCCTCAGGTCTCATTCAAAGTTCCGCAAGTGGGAAAGGTTCAAACCATTTCCTTGTCAGCTACGGCCCCCGGACGCTTCGTCATCTGCCTCCCCCTAGACCTAGTATGGCGCCACTTATGCCTATTCCTTTCTAGATCGAGAAATTATCGAGTAGCTAACCTTAACGAATTTCTCAATTCAAGAACAGTCAAGGGCAGACAAAGCCACTATTAGGAGGCCCACATAGTACTAGCCGACAACTTTTCGTGCAATCTCCAACCCAATTCGTCGATAATTCAAAATAGCGTAGTTGCGTGTTTCTGCTGGTCCGTGGTTTTCCTTTGCACCTCTCCTATATCTTTTGTACTTTTGAAACCAGCTGAGTGTGAACAACGCTGGTGCCTCTACCTCTAGATGCAGTGCACATCGTACGCTGGAGATCCCCAGCGAGAGGTTTGTATGATCGCCAGAGTGGGTAGGGGGGGTCCTATTTGCTTTCGAGAAAAACGAATGCACTGTAAACTGTAACTGTAAACTTCCTAGCCCCACCTCCACCCGCCAGCGGCAGTTTTCGGGGAAAATTTATAGAAATTTCCAAAAGAAAATCATAAAACTGGTGGGATGCTGGAAAGTTTTGGGAAGACGATAAGTTGGTTGGGGATGGGGAAAGGTGGAGGTTCGTACCTGAGGAGGAAGGATGAGATTTCAAGGGGGGGGGATCGTGTTTTGCAAAAAATCTCCCTTCAACAGCATGGCGTACCCTGACCGGGGAACCCGAGGGTGGTGAGGGAACCTCTTGGTTACGCAGTGCCTGAAGAAGTAGGACGATCAAGCTTGTGATTAGTGCCTAGCGGCTAAGACCGTCTCCACATTATAGGGTTATGCTGCGTGCGACGTAGCTAGCCTACTACAGGTGTCTGGGATCAGTAGCTTTGGTGCCTTTAACCTTGTCGGTATCTCACTTGGTAGGGGTGTCGACTGGAAGATCTGCGTAAAGCTAGTTAGCTAGGGAGTACCATCCAGTGTGCAATGAGGATCTCCCATCTGACATCCCTCGAAGACGGTTCTGGCTTGGAATCTGACTTTACTTATATTTCCTAATGTACAGCTTGAAATTTTATTTTGTTATACAGTTATATGGTATTTCGAACTTCCCAAGTCTTCTATCATCAGCACTGCAGATATGGCGACGAATTTTTCTCGCCTGCCTCCACTTCCACCACTGCGTGAGTTCATCCACATGTATCGCCTACGAGCCAAGAGGGTGTTGTCTCAGAATTATCTTATGGACATGAATCTTACGAGGAAAGGTAGGCCTACCATTTGATTCTATGCTTTACTTTCAAATTTTGTGTTCTGTTCCCATTTTCGCTTCCCACCATAAAAGCAGTTAAGTTGAGTGGGTAGCTGCGGCCCTGGTGGCATGAAGGACAGTGCACTCTGCCAGAAACGTGCAATGCGCGTTCAAGTACCACCTAGAAACAAGACTTTGGCCCTTAACTCAGCATTCTTCTAATAACTTTCCTATATATTCGCTTGATTCATTACAATTGGGAAGAATTCCCGGTACATTTCAGATCGTACGACAAGCAGGTGTTCGACCAGGTGATTGGGTCTGTGAAGTGGGACCAGGACCAGGTGGCATAACTCGTGCTATACTGGAGGCCGAATGTGAACGGCTAGATGTTGTGGAAATCGATCACCGCTTCATACCTCCACTTGAGGTTTGAGCAGCCTCTTCCTGTATATCGTAGCGTTATCCCTTCATACGTCATGTCATGCTTTTTCCAGTTACTTGCCGAAGCTTCAGATGGTCGTCTTCGCATTCATCATGCTGATGTGTTGAAGACTAACATTGGTGATCTGTGGAATGATGGTGGCGACCAAAAACGTTCTGAATGGACTGATGCCCCTCCTAATATGCATGTTATTGGTAATCTTCCATTCAACATCGCGTCACCATTGATAATCAGGTCAGTCGTTTAAGGCTTCTCCCCGTTTACTTCACCTTCACCTTTAAACTTCTGACTGAAAAGTTTTGATTAAAAGTGCAATACTTTTCATATGCCAGTTATGGGTGTCCTGAACTTACCACTCCCTTCTGAAAACTGTCGCTTGTCAGATGGCGTACCCACACTTTACCCTCATCTTCACACTTATAAAATCATTGAAATTGAAATTAATAATTTATGGACTATGTTGTAAAATACCCTTACACTTACCTTACCCATACTCTTACTGTAGAGCGCTGGATCAGTTCTTATCTCATACTCGCTGGCTGCTTCTCGTTATAACTTCTGCCTGGCTTTTTCTCTTGAATGTATGGTGGGCAAGGAAATGAGTAAAGTACGGGGATGAGATGTACCCACAACCTTGTCCAGCTTTCTTTCTAAGGCCGTTTGGGCGCCAGGCGCTTGGTGAGGCACCAAGTGGTACTCAGCGAAGCTTGTACCTCTCGAGACAGCAAAGATTCTCGTCTTAACTTAGTGTTGCCCTAGCAAAATGCACTAGCAAAATGAACTGGTGAAAGTGCAAAATACTCCTCTCAAGCCATACGGCGCCGGCCTTTTGTTTTCGTCAAATCAAGTGAAGGATGGAACTGTTTGAAAGTTCCCGGTAACATGTGTCAAAATGGAAAAGTGAGAACGTGTTTGACTTGATTTTCAAGCGGTTATTTTTGTGTTCTGCGACTCGTTCGTGAATTTTCTAGAGTCATGATTTTCGCCCAACTAGCAAGATTGATTTTACAGCGATTTTTACTGTCTTTATAGCATTTATGCTCATTTGCCAGTTCAGGCTTTTGAAAGATATGTCGTATCGAAGAGATGCATGGCGATTTGGACGCGTTCCACTGACGTTGACGTTCCAAATGGAAGTCGCACAGAGAATTTGTAGTCCTATCGACAGCGATTCTCGAGCGAGAATCTCGATCATGTGTCAGTACTTGACCGAGCCAAAGCTTTTGTTCAGAATTCCTGGTAAGTAAACTCATACGAGTATTACAGTCTTGTTCCCTGCGGATGACAGGGCATGTCAGGCGGGATCGGTTTGGCGCGCCACCTGCTCGTTTTCCACCACTTTTGAGGAGGCTAAGCGCCAAGAATTGCTGGAAAACGACTGATATGAACGACATGATGCAGTTTTGTCGTTTGCTCGCTTCATAAGTGGAAAAAGTCTTTGCGCCGTGCCGAACCCATGGCACGATCCACCATCCATAGCGAACGAAAACGTAGTTTCCTTTCTAGAGATAATGGTCTTCAGCTACGGTATTTTTATTTTCTGTTCAGGATCATGCTTTGTTCCACAACCAGATATCGACGTTGGTGTTGTACGTTTTGTGCCGCGAATACAGCCTTTGATAAGTTCTCCATTCGAGGTGCCTTTTTTCTCTTTTCCGTCCAGAAAGGCACGTCTTAGTGATCTCAAAGACCAAAAAGTGATGTCAATTTATTCAGCTGGTCGAAAAATTGTGCAGACAGATCTTTCATTATCGCCAGAAATACATGATCAAAGGCCTGAAAACACTATATCCTAAAGAGGTTCGTCTTTTTGCTACTGCTATGAGCCGTCACTTCATTTTATGGGTGTATAGGGAATGAAAATCGTAATATGCCGCGCTGGTGGGCGTGGCGAGCAACGCCGCGTGCGACAGATGTGTTGTCCTAACTGATGGCTTTGATTGGAATGTTGAAGCGAAGGGGAAATTTCGATATGGCCCATTTTGATCGTGTTTCCGCTTGACTTCGAATGACGTTCGCTTCTCCAGATTGGACACACGCTAGAGCCGGCAGCGTGCCGCCGTACTACCCGCCGCGGACGACCACGCGACAAGTTACGATTCCCTTGTCGGTCGTCTCGCATTTTCTGGAGTGGAAGGGCGCACCTTGGCCTCAAACGCCGCGACGCCGCGACTGTTTCTCATCTGCCTTTCCTTTTACGCATTTTTTGTCAGTCTTTGTCGATAAGACTGTTCGTCGAATTGAGAACATCTGGAGGTAGGGGATCGGTGGTTAAAATATGCAAAAAGAATGAAACAAGCTAGGTTCAGAAACATAGCCCTGCGTGTAGGCCGGCGTGCGTTCTGCGAAACGGTGTTGTTAATGCGCCTTGTACCCCGAAAAATAAGGAATTCCCTTTGCTGCTTCAAAAAAAGGCGGACGTAGCCTAGTGGCAGGGGCGCCGCCTATAGTTAGTGGCGCGGTGAAAGTGCTTCGGGTTGAATACTTGATTCGGCTCCATCAGACCAGTCGTGCCCCCCAATCTAGTCCCTCGCAAGCTCTTAAATTCGGTACGCACTCTCCTCGAGGACAACACACGCAACTCATACTCGCAATGTGGCCGCCAGTGCGATCGTTTGCTGTAAGGATTCATGGATACGCGGAATTAACAAAAAAAGACACTTGACCGTTCAGATGTTTGGTGCGTCTCAAGGGTGATTGACCAATAGCTGAAGGCCTATTTATCCTTTATGCTTTCTACTCTGAGTAAAAGTGATGGACTGTCCGGTTGGTTACAGATAGCGGACGATATGGCTCACCAGCTGCTAAAAGACTGTCGTGTTAATCCAACTGCTTCATCCATTCAACTCGGCATCGAGGAGTTTGCAGATTTGGCCGCCGGTTATGAGAAACAGTGTAGAAGGTGAGATTGTCACAAGATTACTCGAATTCTTACTCTTACACTATTCCTTGCCCTCTGATGTGATCAGACAACTAAAAAGCAGCGAGTAGTAGCAAGAGCAGCACGCGAAGTTGCCATCAAGTCCACTACCGAAGTGGCCCGTCTAGCCCTTTTGGGAATACAGAGAGTTGCATAGTTCTGTCATCACATGTTCTGAATTCGTCTATTTTCAGTATGCCTGGATTGTTCTTGTACGACTACATCAAACCAAAGAACACAATCGAAATGCTCGCCCAGAAACCAGGCGCTGTTCCACCGGAGAACCCATATCGATTTGAAAAAGTTCCTTTAGAAGGAATACGATTGTCGGATGCTGACAGATTTCTCAGTTAACACTTTCAGTATGTCCTGCAGTACATAATGTCTGTCGCTAAATCTATAGCGGGCGTTGCAGTAACATTGGTTTTGTATGTGCACGAGACTTAGGATTGATTTAACGCTTTCTGACAGAATAGTTCGGTACATCTTGCTCCGCCCCTGAAGGTGTGGCCCGCATCATCGTCGACAATGATGTTTGGAGCCTTGACACCAACCAGTCGTAGAGGGTGGGACTGGAGCTTTCATGGTGGGTGATAGGAAGTGATATCGACTGATAGAGGCTGATTTGTTCCCTTGCAACAGTGAGGCGCTGGTTTCAACAGGTGGAGAAATTAACTCGAGACTGTATGCCTTTAAATGGGCGGGCGCTAGTCACCAAAAACAGCTCTCTGACCGTGTTTTCTTTTTCTAGGTACTGGTAGCAAAGCTTTTTGAATTTCTGTCTTTAATTTCTAAATTTTAAGATAGCTACTGTAGAAATATACTGCCAAGAGTAGAATAGTACGCGTAGGTGGATTTATCTGTTCTCAAATTAATGAAATGATTTGCTCAGTTTCAAACGTCTTTTTCATGTTCTGACTTTGTTATTTCCTAATCCAGTTGTTATTTTTACTTGTTGATGTACATAAATATTATTTTATGTGAACTTATGCATATCAAGGAGCTGGTCTGGGCTCCCAACGGTGTTTCATGTGGTTTATGAAGCGCTGATGTCTGTGACGTTCCATCTAAGCAAATGAGCCAAGAGCAAAACAGTCGCAGGATTCGAACCTGCGCGCCCTCCGAAGAGGACTGCGACCTGAACGCAGCGCCTTAGACCACTCGGCCAGAATGACATAGTGATGAAGTGCAAGCAGCTCCTCTTTGTTCGGACAAGCGCTGCTGAGACAGCGAAAGAGCTCATCTTCTGCATAGACTTGTTCCTGCTTTTCTTTTTATCAGTTGTTTCCTCCTTTTGAAAGTTTCTTTTTCTTACTTCACAAATTGGCTCTTCCTCGCATCTCTTCTTACCACCCCAACACCAGCCGGACAAGTTTTGGCGAAAAGTCGATAGGCTGCTCTAAATAGGCCCTAATTAGCTGTGCAGACTAAACAAACGCCAGGTGCTATTCAGATATAATGTCCAAGTGAGGATAAGCAAAAATAAGCAGAATTGAGAGCCATCGTAATGCTTTTGAGTCCAGTGCGAAGCCAATTATGTGCTGGTCCAATACAGGCCTTCAGACCAGTATATCGCAGCACGGCGACTTTTAGGGCACACTATTCCCACGACATTTTTTTGAATTTTTTTTCCTCTCTATAGTTGGCCGCATTTGGCGCTGGGACAAGGACTTTTGCCTGACTCCAGACGCACAAGTTCCGATGTGGGTGAACTAATTCAGGCGTAGTGTGTCTTGAACGGGATTCAATAAGGAGGCCTAGACGCTTGGCCACAATGCTATCTTAAGAGGGATCGTGAAATAGCAAAGTCAAGGGAAACGAATCACTGATGTTAAACTAAACAGTGGCGAAGTTGAACTGCGTCATTTTCTTTCGTCGACTAAACCATGTCGGAGCTAGTCATGCAGTCAGACAGTACAGACGAGCAGATATGACTTGCCTCAGTCTCGCTGGAAATTTGCCCTCCCAAGGCACACCTTTTCACATTTCGTGGAAACGAGTTCCTCACCCCACGACGTCATGCCACGTTGTGGTATGCTCAGGGTAACACTGCCTATTAGCTTACTATATTTCAGTATGCGACAAGACGACCGTAATATGCCGCCCTCGCGTGCGTGACGAGCGGCGCCACGCCCGAAAGAAGTTTTTCTGCCTGGCCCGTTTGAATGTAGGTACATATCAAAGGGATG